AGGCGCCCCAACTGCTGCATCTTTAAGAGGCAAGAACAGTCATGCCCCTTAATACGCGCCTAATAAATATTTGTTGAATGAACTAATTTAATCCCCATCACAAGCATATGAGTTAAACATTATCATTTTATAAAAGAGTATACCAAGATAAAATGATCTGCCATACCACCAGTAAGTGACAGAACCAGTATTTAATTAAGCATAGATCTGTCTAATTCCAAAGTTCTGTATACCTTTCACCTCATTACACTGATATGGCAAAAGCATTACTGAATAATTATATAAAAGCATAATGCCACACATACATATTTTCTCCACCATTTTCCTTACCCAAGTTTGTAGTTTCCTGAGCCTTAGGGCAAAATAAATAAGACAAATATGCGTTAAATCCATATCTATATCTGTAAGTTTATATCTTTATTCTTACTTTAATCTTTATATTTTTATATCTGTATCTATGGATTTAATGTTTGGACTACACTTGATGCAATTAAACCACCAGATTGAATCTTTTTTTTAACTTTTAAACTTTTTGCCAGCTGTAATGAGATATAATTGACATAACATTGTTTAAATCTTGAACACAAAATGCCTTAGTTGTACAAGTCAGAAGACTGGAGAGTTAGCTTATTTAAAAAAGACACAACTAGAATTATGAAACCAATTTTATGCACTCAGACATGTAGCATACATGAGTACACCAATTTGTATTTCTTCTTTTAAAATGCATAAAGAAAGTTAAAAATGTGAGGGAAAAACAAACATAAAACATCCTGTTCTCCTTTGCCCTAAGAATCCCTCATTAAAAAAAAAGAAAAAAATCCCTCATTTCACTTCTCCCCACACAGAAGCAACAAGCCCTCGGCTGTCATTTCGCTCACACACAGCAGCGCTGTCCGGCAAGCCCCTGTTGCAGGCTTTCAACAACCAGCTCCCATCGCTGCTCGTACACACCTGCTTCCCTTCACAAGAAATAATCTATGGCAGCTGTTTTCTAAAAATAGGCACTAGGAAAGCCAGAGAGGTTCTGAATGCAGATTCAACGGGCTGCACATCTGTCCACATTTTCGTAGCTTGCCTGGGGTTTTACCATCATCACAATAATCAGGGAACTCGAAGGAGCCAACTACTATTCTGTCGCATTTTCTCTCTTCAGATGCTCAGGGCAGAATTTTTCAAAATCTGTGTACAGGAGATCAACACTGCATACTAAAAAGCTATTAAAGGATAAGACAAATAGCATCCATACAATTTGCCTGCCTTAAAAGCTTAATGTTTATTGTAATCTGACATCGTGATGATGGATGGGGATGCCATGATGCAGAGAATCTCAACACTTTACAACCATTGAAAGATTATTCAACTCACTAAAAAGATAAAAGCAAATGAAAAATGATATAATAAAGCTGAACTTTTCAGCTTCTTAACTGCCAGATCTTGCAATAAAAATATATCTAAATTTTAATAATCAACATAAATCTTTGAGACAAATAGAAATAGATTGCTCCCTGAAACTATAAGAAGGATAGACTGTACCTTATCCATAACCAATAAGAGCCAGAAATATGTCCTCAAAGGGCTTAATTTTGGGCACCTGAACATGAACTGAGGATAAGCAGGTAGTACTAGTTACTGTAAAATATAGTCTTGCTTACATCAGTGTAATTTAAGGCAAATATTCCCTCTTCAATGTTAAGCAATAGAGGAATGAAAGAGATAACAGTAATAACCACTATTTAGTGGAATTCTTTTAGTGGCCACTTTAATTTTCTTCTCAATTAATCCTAAAAAAAGTATGTACTCCAAATTGTATTTGTTAGAGGGAGAACTAAAATTCAAATCAAATTTATTACAAACTAAAGTTCATGGTCTTGACTCTTAAACTCTTCTGCATTCAAAAGAATCAAAAACATACACTATGCATCACATCTTTATCTTTATAAGATATCTTTATAAGAATCCAAGAAGTGATTATGAGTTATTAAAGGAAAAAAAGAAAAGCTCGTCAGAAATGACATTACCATTTCTATTACCAAATGAGTGGAACCAGACACAAGAACATTTTTTATGCTTAGTTTCTGTTCCTTCAGAACTCCAGAGTTCTCCATCACTGCCCCACTAGGTCCAGTCATTTGGAAATGCATGAGCTCCAATTGTATTAAGACTATTTATAAAGTTAACAAACACTGATTTTTTTTTAATCACTCACAGGAATCTTCACAGGATATATAAAAACGTGATACGTGTTGAAAAATCTTTCCTACAAATGACAACTACATAAGGTATACTCTGTGCGAGCTTCCAGCCTCACTGGGTGCCAAACCATAATATAAACAAGACATACACTGACTTTTTAAAGATGCCTACGTTCCTTAAAGACAATAACGTGTTGAACATATTTCTGCTCCATACTCGGGACCACTGTGCAAATTGATTTCAAACTTGTTAAATTTTGTTTCAAACTTGTTATCTCTAGACTTAGAGATACAGACATATTTAACACTCTATTGTTTCTGTTCATAGTAACTAATTCTATTCCCTTCTCTGCCAGGTACCTCCAACTTTTCCTTCTTGTCAAATAATAACAACCCATTTATTTAGCTTGTACTATGTTGTCAAGCTCTATGATATGTACTATGTATATACTATATCATTTATTCCTTTATATAATCCTATAGAGTAGGTAGTATTATATCCTTCTCATTTTACAGATGAAGAAAAAGTAGGCAACTGCCTCAGTTACACTGCTAGCAAATGACAAAAATTGGATATCAATGCAGGTCTATCTCACTCCGAGGCCCTTGCTCTCATCCATGGAGCTAGGAGAGCCCAATGAGACACCAGAAATTAGCTAATCTCAATTCTTCATTTTATAGATAGGGATGCTTTAACCCAAAGAGTTTAATTGACATGTTCAAGGTCACACCTTAATTACTGGGTAGAGTCAGGGCTAGAACCCAGAGCTTACTTTTTTATGCTCCTTCTAACTATCCCATGTGGCCTTTTCTAAAAATTTGAGAACAGAAATGTATTTTGATTTTCTACACAAGTAAGTATTCCCATAAACTGTCAATCTGATTCACTGTACAATATTCAGGAGATCCTCCCTGATTTCTCTGAAGCCTCCAAAAGCTGCCAACTCTTATAACCATGGCTGATTTAGAATGATGAACATTTTTAAGCTAAAATAACAATATACTCCCTAATATCAGTAGTTCAATGATGTTTCTCCCTTACATTTTATTTTTTAATTACTTTTAATTATTTTTTATCACTTTAAGTAAACGCTATTCCCCAACGTGGGGCTCAAACTCACAACCCCAAGATCAAGAGTCACATGCTCAGGGGCGCCTGGGTGGCTCAGTTGGTTAAGCGTCTGACTCCGACTCAGGTCGTGATTTCACAGTCCGTGAGTTCGAGCCCCACATCAGGCTCTGTACTGACAGCTCAGAGCCTGGAGCCTGTTTCAGATTCTGTGTCTCTGTCTCTCTCTCTCTCAAAAATAAATAAAGGTTAAAAAAAAATTTTTTTTTTAAAAAAGTCACATGCTCTACCGAATGAGCCAGCTCGGTGCCTCTCTGCCTTACAGTCTAACTGTGATTTACGATCATTCTTTAATATGCTGGTTCGCAAACCTGGCTACAGATGGTAATCATCAAAGTTGCTTTTAAAATGCCCAGTGCCTAGGCTACATCCCCCATTAATTAAATTGAAACCTCTGGGAGTGGGATCCAGGCATCAATAGTTTTTAAAATACTCAGGTGATTTTAATATGCAACCAAGTTTGAGAACCAGGGTCTTAATTATTCAAACCTTAAAATAATATTTCACAGTATATTAGATCAAAAGAGCTAAAGACAATCTCTAACACTGTCATCAACTATATTAATCCACCTCCTCAAAGATTACTAGAGGAAAATATCTAAGTGATTTCAGAAAAACTCTCAAATCATAGAACACCAGCATCAGTTACTTAAACAAATTCCTAGTAGCTGATGATATAGAAAAACACACAGAAATCCTGAAGTACACATCCAGAAAGAGTAACCTGAGCAACCAGCCAAAATGAGTTCATAATCATGGACATGCACTCATTATTGTTCCCACAAACACATCACAAAGCAACAACCTGGTATGTAACAAACCACACTCATAAATTAAGTCAACTGATTATAGTCCTTTTTCCAAAGCTAATTCTATGCTTTCTTCCCTGATTTAGGTGATTAGTAAATAAAACTTTGCATTTCAAATACATGTTTAAATATCACAAGTTTTGAATTCCATAAGAGAAGACAATGTGACTGATTACCTATGAGGTCACATGACCAATTGGGAGGGTTTTTTTTTTTTTAATCACTATGAATGAGAAAATACAGAATTAACATAAAATTAATAAATTTATTTTTGCTCTTTCTAGTTATAAAAACTTAGCTATAATATTTGTATTTCTTATTTTTATCAGAATTAGCCCATTTATTTTTATTTTTTTTATTTTTTTATTAAAAAAAATTTTTTTTTTAACATTTATTTATTTTTGAGACAGAGAGAGACAGAGCATGAATGGGGGAGGGTCAGAGAGAGATAGAGACAGAATCTGAAACAGGCTCCAGGCTCTGAAAAGTCAGCACAGAGGCCGAAGCAGGGCTCGAACTCACGGACCGCGAGATCGTGACCTGAGCCCAAGTCGGACGCTTAACCGACTGAGCCACCCAGGCGCCCCAGCCCATCTATTTTCAATCTTCCCCAATTCTCTGTTCCCCATGGAAAATTGTGTTTTAGCCCTGATCCTGCCTTTTTAGTCCCCTAGCAAACAGGCAAAGCCAAATAGTTCTCAGTAGCTGTTTTACCAAAATTTGACCCAAATATTAAATGTTATGAAAATGTTTCATTTTTGTAATAATTATATTGTGCTCTCATAGCAATTCAACAAGACTTTTCTTAGTATTTCAAAAATAACTACTCTGACCCAAGCGTAAGTCAGAAGAAAAATGCGTACTTACAGGTATCATCCAGTTAGCCAGGTCACCATATTTGGAAACCTGCATTGCTCCTAGCATTGTTAGATTCACATGGCCCCTGAGAGAGAAAAAAGGAAATATAAAGCAAACTTTGTAAGCTTTATGTCCCATTTGCTTGAAACTGCCAGCAATTAAAATAATTCTATAGCCACCAAAATAAATTTGCTTTCTCCTACCCAACACCTGATTTCAAAATCAACCAGCTCAAGCTGATATAGAGAAATAACCATTAAGAGTTCTTTTAAAATTATAGCCTATATTGTCTCCAAAAACAAATAGAAAACAGGTGTACACAGTTGAGTCTGTTTCCTTCAGTAAGGGAGAATGTGGCTTGCTTTGAAGGCAAACGCTAGCTAGAAAATGAAAACAATTTTGTAGAAAATGTTAGGATCCTTACAAAGAACTTTAAAAATATTTACTTTGGTATACTCAGCACACAGATATAAATTCCATTTGGGGGGGGGTTCTTTTAATAACTGTGAGCTGAATGTTCCAATTCCCAACATTCAATGTGAATAATTTCACATCTTGGTGCAACTGAACGAGCCCATGAACATTTGCTGGCTGGGAGACGTGGCTATGTTTCGGAGTCTTGCTAACACGCTCAGAGGATGACTCAGTTCATTCCACGCCATGTGAAACACGAGGGGCTCCGTTGTTACATACCCTCTAATCATTGCAAATGATTCATCACTGGAGAAGTAAGAGGCTCCTGGAAGAACAGTAACTGTTTCCTTGCCTAAACACACATACACAAGAAAGGAAACAAAGGAAAGAAAAGGCTATTAGATTTCTAAGAGTGGAAATCATGTAGAGAGAGGTCTATACTTTCTCCATTTCCTAAAGAACTAAGACCTCTTTAACCAAACAGCAGTGGCAGTGGGGTTGTGGGAGATCCACTGGGAACTGTCACCCTGTGAAGAGGAGTATTTTGTCACAAGTATTGTTCAGATTTGCCCTTGCATGGTGATAATAGAAAGACCAACTTTGAATTTTCTTATTGTTTTTGTAATTCTTTACAAAGCACCCCCTATCACCTCTAACCATTTCTGCCTCTCCCCAACCCCCACTCCCTCCACAAGCCCCTGCTAAATGCTGATGACCGTGAGGGAAAAAGGAGCCCCTGGGATGCATCTAGCAACACTCTAAGTCACTGGAGCAAAGAGATTGTGTGCAAAGATATGCAACTTGGAAGGAAATGACACAAGAGATGCTCCTCAGATATTTCTTAAAAAAAAAAAAAAACAATAAATAACCTAGAAAGTAAGGTTCCCCCCACCTAATTCCTTAACATCATCAGGCCTGAATCTCTTCTTTTAATCTTTCTCTGCCTCATATTTCAACTCTCTTGTTCCTCTAAGTTTCTGTTAAAATCATAGGACTTTGATGAGATCAGGGAATAACATCCTAATACTGGCTCATGTATTTAATGGTAACTGTTTTTTTTTTTTTTTTAAGGGTAACTTCTAAGAGGTCCTCTTGGAAAGATCTCAGTCAAAATGTACACCTCATAATTAAAGAGCTGAAAAGGATCTTCAAGTTCATCCTGTCCTCACACAACCAACAGTATCACCTGACTTGTATTTCAGCTGCTTTCTTTTTGTGCTCTATTTCCTGTGAGTACGGTGCCCAGGAGAAGAATCTGGCCTCAACCAGAAAAGGACTCACATGCCATTTTGCCAAATAGAAGTCCACTGTATGAGAACACCTCATGCATTATCCCAGTGTAATAAAGCAGTCAAATAGAAGGGGAAGAAAAGTTATGATACCGGGTTGGAAAAGAGAAAAGCTCCCAGACACAACAGGACTAGGGTGGTCAGATCATGCCCAGCTGTGCAACACAGCTGTACCCTCAGCTTCTCAAGCCTTGCCTGAAAGTTAAATTCTCCATCAATATTCCTCTCTATTTGAGCTTCAGTAGAGAGAAACAGTCTATTTATATCGTGCTGAAATATTTATTCCCAAAAGGAATCTGATTCTAAACAAGGGAAACATTTTCACATCTTTCAAAATACTGTAAGATGAAAATCTTTGGAGAATACTTTCTGGTGTGGTCAGGAGGGGCTTTTTGGTTTAGGATTTGGAGGATTAAATGAAATAAGGTATGCAAAGTCCTTACTCTGGTACCTGGCACAGAGAAAGGACTCCATAAACACAAGCTTCATTATTGTCACTACTATTATATTCCTCACTCCGAACCTACTTGTAAAAGAGATAATGCCATCGCCCTTCTAGGGATAAATGCTACTCAGCAACTGGCTTATGTGGCAGAGTTATACCGCCAGCCTGGGAACTCTAAGCTTCAGGATAGGCATGATACAACTAAACTTGATCCTAACACAACTTCCATATCCAGTATATTTGGTTCCTGACCAGTCCTATGAGGTGCAAGGGGCAAGAATGTATAGGACAAAAAAGCAGAGAAACATAAAAATCTCAATTCTTTGTTCTTCACATGCTAAATCACAATGACTTCCAAAGGGCAATCTCCACCAGCTGACAGTACGTAGAAGGCATTATTTATCGCTCACAGGAAAGTTGGAGATCAGTGAGAGAGTCTTGGCTCTCCCCATGTGATTTATGAAGCATAGTTTTATTTAAGAGCCCGGAAAACAACTCTCATAAAATATAGTTATTGTCAGGCACCTGCTAATACATTCTGCAATCTTATAAATTACATTCTCTGGAAGCCAAGTTAGTTGTCAGTATTTTTAAATATCTAATATCTAAGTAAAAATAGATATCCTAAAGTTGAATCCATGCTCTCCAAATACAATGTCCAAATTTGGTCAATAAGTAACTGTTATCAACAATACAATCAATATTTTAAAGGAAAAGAACTTTCTTATTTGCCTATTCCTTATTGACTTCTGTTTCCTCCAGTTTTTCTCTGCATTTGTCTAGATCCTTTCGTAATATTTGGGCAAACACAGTTATTCAATTTCACAGTTACTGAGTCCTTGGGCTCATGATTTAACATGTTGTTTATTCAATATCAAGTAAAATGTCTGCTATGTGCCTTGGTGTTACAAACCAAAACACAGACGTCGTAAGCTAATGGTTCTCAAACTTTAACACCAATTAGAATCACATGGAAGGCAGATCTCTGAGCTAAACTCCCAGAGTTTATAATTCAGTGGGCTTGTGATGAGTCCTGAGAATCTGTTTCTAACAAGTCTCTGGTGATGCTGATGCTGATGCTGTAGGTCTGGGGACCACACTTCGAGAACCACCACTCAAAGCAAAAGGAATATACTATTCAGCTAGAGAGACAAATATACACGAATAATTATAAGGCAAAATGAAAGACACTAGATGTGTTACAGGTTCAAAGCAGGGGCATTTCTGAGGATTTGGAGAGGACAAATGAACTGGAGCTTGAAGGACAAGTGTAACACATTTCAATAGGAAATTACTAATAAGGAGATGGGGATGCAGAAAGAAGGGGACAGAACAAATGAATCTGATGATGCATGCAGGAAGAGCAAAGGCATGGAGAAAGGAAAGCATGAGGCATGATCAGAATAGACCACTTGGGGGCGCCTGGGTGGCTCAGTCGGTTAAGCATCCGACTTCAGCTCAGGTCACGATCTTGCAGTTCATGAGTTCAAGCCCCGCGTTGGGCTCTGTGCTAACAGCTCAGAGCCTGGAGCTGCTTCAGATTCTGTAACTCCCTCTCCCTCTACCCCTCCCCTGCTCATGCTCTGTCTCTGTCTGTCTCTCAAAAATAAATAAATGTTAAAAAAAATTAAAAAAAAAAAAAAAAAAGAATAGACCCATTAGTCCAGTATGGGTGGACACAGAAGTCCTTGAAGGGTGTAGTGGAAGATGAAGCTGGAGAGGGCAGTCCCAGCCATTAGATACATCTTGAACGCTGTACTATTCGTTCCTTAGTCTGCAGGCCTATGATTCTTCAGCTGTGGCACGAGGACCTCAAGAGAAGGCACTATTGACATCTGGAACTGGGTAACTCTTTGAGGGGAGCTGTTACATTATTGTAGGATAATTAATAGCATTCCTGGCCTCTACTACTTGCCAATAATACTGGCAATCGAAAATGTCTTCAGACATTGTCAATGTCCCCAGGGGAATAAAATCCCCCACTTGCTCATTCAGAACCACTGCCCTAGAAGCACATGACAGGGGCCAAGGATATTTATAGGCCATGGGGTTAACATGGTGGTTCTTTCTAAAGGAGTTTTAATCAAAGGTAAGTCATTTAAAACATTATCTGATACTAAAATAAGAAAACTTGGGGTGCCTGGGTGGCTCAGTCAGTTAAGTGTCTGACTGTTGGTTCTGGCTCAGATCATGATCTCACAGTTTTGCAGGTTCAAGCCCTTCACAGAGCCTGTGTGGGATTCTCTCTCTCCCTCTCTCTCTGACCCTCCCCCTACTCACGCTGTCTCTCTCTCAAAAAGTAAACTTAATAAAGGAAAAATTTTAAATTAATTAAAATAAGAAAACAATTAAGAAGTAGAGAAGAATGTGAAATGTACATTCATACGAAAGCTAAGGGGCACCTGGGTGGCTCCATCGGTTAAGCATCTGACTTCTGCTCAGGTCATGATCTCATGGTCTGTGGGTTCAAGCTCCACATTGGGTTCTATACTGACAGCTCAGAGCCTGGAGACAGCTTCAGATTCTGCGTCTCCCTCTTTCTCTCTGCCCCTCCCCCACTCATGCTCTGTCTCTCTCAAAAATAAATGTTAAACTTTTTTTAATTAAAAAAAAAAGAAAGCTAAAACATGAGACTGATTGAAAGTTGCACAATTGCATTGGAATATTGCAAATCTTAACAGGACCTCTGAAATGCTGCTGTCAGCACTGCCTTCTGAACCTTTGTAAAACTCAGGTTAGGAGTGGGTTCACCTCAATGTGTAGAGGAAAAGGCCAGGGGCCAGGACAGCAGGCTGTGTGTGAGTCCAGTCCCTAGCAATGGGATCTTGAACACATCACATCATTTTTCTGTGCCCCAGTTTCCCAATCTGTACAATAAGTTTTTACTTAAGGCTCAAATGGTATATAACACGTGTGAGAAAGTATGCCACAAACCAAACAGTGCTATGCAAGTGGCAATCCATTTTTACATAACCCATGAAGTCATTATTTAGAAAAAGGGATCCTTAGAAATAGTTATCTAAAAATTTTAATACACTGATTACACCCAGAAATGTAACTCTTGGTATTCATTCCAAAGGATTTCTGTAAAAATCCTTTCAAATTAACACAAACAATGGCTCTTGCAGGTAACTTCCAAATCTGAAGAGTTGAGGAGACCACAAATATATATTCTGGGTTCTTTAGCTCAAACTATTTCCTCCCTAAATTAGGCAGCTCCAAAATCAAAAGCAACATAAATCCCAAAAAGAACTTCGATGAAGGAGCTGAAATATTATTAAACTGATTTGCAGCTTGGCTTCCCAAAAGCAATGAATTATTGTTTTACAAAGCAGTCAAAGATTATACAATGTATTTCAGAAGTTAAATAACAAAACTAGTGGCTTCATTAGGGTTGAGCTACTCTTAAGCTCATGGAATCAGAAATAGGGCTACTGTCCAATAGTCACTGAAAAGATTAACTACTTTTCCAAGGGAAGTGGGTTTTATGAACTAAGGCCTAAAATTTGGAAAATGGGAGTTATTCATTTTGCAAATAACTCACTAACATCATAAATTAATTAAACCAAGCAGCAAATATTTTCACAGATCAATGAGCTATTGCTAAAGGGTACAGTACAATTAAATTACAGCCTTAGTTAAATGTCATTGCTTTATCACAGTGGGCCTTTCAGGGTTGAGTCGTGTTAGCTAATTCAACTATTCAACCAGAAGCAGTTTTACTTCCAAAAATTCTAAGTATCAAACATCAATTCTGCTTGGCACCTCGCCTTTATGTTCAGCTAATACTGCTTCTCTTCTGAGATTTACATGTACTATTTTTGAATGTGAAATAATACTTTTGTGGGGGTAGAGTGAATAAGAGTAAAAGGGCAAAGAAAATCATGCTAGGATATAAAAATCAGCTTCTTATGAGCAGCCCCAATCTAAGGATAATCTTCAGCCCCAACAGGGTGGCAGTGTTACCTCAAGCATGGGCAGTGACAATGACCAGATGGTCTGGCTTGTTTTTTCTCCTCTAGGCTGCTACCACATGCAACTCTATGTCACAGTCAAATTAAAAAAAAAAAAAAAAAAAAAAAAAAAAAAAAGGCAAAGCATGTGCATGTGGGAATAAAGACAGGTTGAGTCCCAGTTCAAAAAAACTCCATTACTCACATCACTGGGTCACACTGAGTGGCAGAGTACATCATTCAGCACCCTTGAACTCTTGAAGAATGCTCTCCTACTCCAATGACAACTAGGGGGACAGTAAATATTGCTCAGAACAAAAACCCCAGTGTGCCAGATCTTTCCTTTTGCCTAGATGGATCCACTTGTCATCCCATCATAAAAAGGCAGACACATTTCAACCTAGGATTGGCCAATGGAAGGCACAAGCAGAAGATCCAGCAGAAGAGCCCCCATCCCTGACCCAGATTTCTGCAAGATGGCTGTTTCTCTATCCAAGACCATTGCTCCTATTAGGTGGCCCTCTCCCACTACTGTCCCTTAAGGCCTCGGGGTGACAATAACTCCCTGTGGTGTTTCACCATCCTTTCCTGGTTTCCCTCAGTCTTGTTCATACCCTTGTAAACTGTTCTTTCCTTTAATTCTATTCGTTACCCTATTTGGGAGTGCTCTATACATATAGCCAGGACCCTGACTGATCTATCCACCAAAGCTCTTGCCACTATATGTAACCCCACCTACAATTTCTCCCTTATCTTATTCTTCCCTAAACAAGAGACGATAAGCACACTAGACAAAAGATTAGGAAGTCCTCTCTCCCCTCCTCAGTGAAAAACACAGTGGAGCACTCTCCAAGAAAAGATAAAGAATCAAGCCCAACTCCTTACTCTTATTTGCCAAAAAAAACCCTAAATTAACAGCATTGGAAAATCACGTAATGAAGGAGTTTACCTGCATTGATTAGATCTGCATCAACTTCATTTTGTAGCGGATATGGACCCTGTCAAAGCACAAGTTCAATTAGTAAAAGAAGTTCTTCACTGAATCATACACTAAAATTGTAATATAAATGACTTCTCTAAAAACGTTGGGAGGGGCGCCTGGGTGGCGCAGTCGGTTAAGCGTCCGACTTCAGTCAGGTCACGATCTCGCGGTCCGTGAGTTCGAGCCCCGCGTCAGGCTCTGGGCTGATGGCTCAGAGCCTGGAGCCTGTTTCCGATTCTGTGTCTCCCTCTCTCTGTGCCCCTCCCCCGTTCATGCTCTGTCTCTCTCTGTCCCAAAAATAAATAAACGTTGAAAAAAAAAAAAAATTTTAAAAACGTTGGGAAATTACTATCAAAAGACTTGAGGTGAACCTTTTAAAAATAATTCCAATGTTTTCATGGCTGTTTCTTCTATTGATTAGTCTTTCCTACACTAATAACTGTGATAAACAAAAACTATTTCCTAAAAATTACCAAAGTTTGAAAGAAATGTTAAGCTATTAGAAATATAGGTCAGTAAAACAAAAAGTAATTATTTAGTACCTATTATGCAACCAATGTTATCCATAAATCTTCCTGGTAGTAATCAGTGACTATAAACAAAATGGCTGCCTACTGGACTGGAAGGATCTGGAGAGGCAAAGTTTCATATTTTTTGGTATACAGCATCTAACAACCCGAATTTGGAGTCCTAACCTTAGCTCTCACAACACCTAAGTTGTGAAGCTTTTATTTTTCCTTTGCCTGGTTACTCTCAATTTTGCTTTTTAATTTTGTATGTATTTTTACAAGGCACCTCTACATTACTTCAATCGGGTGAGTAGTTTCATAACATAATATATAGTAAACAAAAGATGAGGAAATAGAAATAGGGAAAAAAGGCACAAGACAGAACCAAAAATGAGGAAATTCTAACATACTTCCAAAAAGAGGGACCAAACATATATCATTTAAATAAACTGAAGTGGCAACTAATGTTTTAGGACTATGTAAATTTTCCTTCAAACATTGACTATTGGTAAGATACACCTTGTCTTCAAAATGAGGGAACTGGTCACTCTATAAATAATCACATTTTGAAGACATGTGAGTCTTTGATGGTAATATGAATCTGCTTTTATTCAGACTCATGTAAGTTTTGTGCTTTTGAAATTGGTCAAGATTACTGCCTCGATCATGTCAACCGTATGCTCATGATCATTATTCATGTTTTAAAGACTGGATATACATCTTACATATGGACAGTTTTTATTGCACTAACAGTTAAGATCTACTGAGAACAGAAGATTAAAAATCTTACACATCGGCCAAACTATAAATAACCTCTGCCACAGTTAATATTATTTAAAAAAAATGTCATCCAGGAAGCAAAAGTATTTCTTAATATAATATTGAATAAAAAGTATGCACGAATTCTATGAGAATATTGAGCTCATCTGGAAGATTAATCTTGAGGAAGAGAAAAATTCTTCCCTTTTGAACAACCTGACCTTGAAATGACAATTAGGTGAGAGGAATTTTTGAAATTCATCAACTGTCAAAAAATGTCCCTGTTCCTCAAGTAAAAACCTTACTTTTCAGTTACTCATCCAGAATCTTATTGATCATTATAATAATACAGAATTTTTAATGACCTTCATTATCTTGTCCAACCACACAAAAGTTAGAAATAGTTATCTAAACTGGACACTGTGAGGTCTCTCTGAGGCAGGTACACTAGGGGAGGTAGACAATGACAAGCTAACATAAGAGGAGCAGTCAGAAAGCTCACATAGTCAGGGAACTACCATCTCCTACATGAAATACAACACTACATGCTCACAATTACCACTGTTTTATGGGGGGAAATATTTTATTATGATGTTAAAAATATAAAAAATAAGGTGGGGAACTTTAAGCTAACAACTCTTAGAAGATTTCATTGTATAGACTACTTCACTCTCCATCGAGACTGGATAAAGAAAACTTTAATTTTGGTCTTACCAAACCCAGGATTCCATTTTCACTTTGCAGATGAACTGTGATACTTGGGCTGATAAAGTTGCTGGCCAGAAGCGGGATTCCTATGCCCAAATTAGCTGGGGAAAAAAGATGTTAAGGTCCACTGCAAAACAGGTAAAGAGATTATGCCACAAATCTCCTACATATATAAATCTGAACTTCTCAATTCTAAAGGCACTTGCTCTGAATATAATCACTGACTACATTCTCCCATCATCCTTGAGGCACTATTCTCTAATTTTTTTTTTTTTTTTTACGTTTATTCATTTTTGAGACAGAAAGAGACAGAGCATGAATCGGGGAAGGTCAGAGAGAGAGGGAGACACAGAATCGGAAACAGGCTCCAGGCTCTGAGCTGTCAGCACAGAGCCCGACGCGGGGCTCGAACTCACAGACCGCGAGATCATGACCTGAGCCGAAGTCAGACGCCCAACCGACTGAGCCATCCAGGCGCCCCTCTAATTTTTTAAAGAAAGAAAATTTCTAATTTCAATAACATTAATATGCTTTCCCATAAAGATAACAAAGTAGTGGCTTCAGAAGACTAGCCAAGAGGTCATTTTTATTGTAAGGCATATTTTATATTCATTAATGTGCTTAGCAAACTTGAACTGATGTTATTACTACTTATTATGACTGATATATTATTAAACATGGCTTGACCTTTGTTTAAAAGCAATTTTCACTATTTAAAACTCCAACTAAAAATAATGATTTAATATTCTCAAAAAAGGCTATCATTTTTAAACTAAAAAGAAGTTTTCTGACAATACCAATGTCTGCCCAAAACTGTAACTATTCCTTTGGGTCACTGAGATAACATTCATTGGTAAGTGAATCTTCTCTAGGACATAAAAGAAGGGGGAGGCGTGTAAGTTTTAGCGAATATAATTGAGACCATATAAAGAGTAGCCGAGTGTTGAATCTTCTTCCTCAAATGACCAAAACTGGGTCCCGATTTGTATGTGATGGTGTAGATTTAATCTTGCCTCTCAACACAAGCAGGCTCCTCAGATCAGAGATACACACACACTGCCTGGAACTGCTGTCCATGCTCTCCTCGACCACCACACGCAAGCCAGAATTAGTGCAGAGGATGACAGCACTCTGATGAGATTCCAGTAACAGTGAGATCTTTGTGAATCAGAGCCGGAAAAAATAAAGTTTGTATGTGCTGCCGTGTTACAGACTGCAAGGGGGGCAGGATGACTCCATGAACCAGGTCACTGCTCACAGACACAGGAAATCGATGAAGCTATGACAATAGCTACTTAACTCATCTACAAATCACAAGCTAGCATAGTTTGTACTTTATTTCTCACAGTGATGTACAGACCACATTGAGATATTATTTCCATTAGGAGTGAGTATTTTCAGATAAGGGCAACCTACATTACAATGCTTCTACGTAAATGCTTTCATTGTATTCTATAATTTTTTCAGAATGTGACACAGGAGGAGTATTCTTCAATACTTTTTAGTGGGTCAAATGCCAGGGGTAAAGAGGTCTATGTACTCTGGGTTGAGAAAGAGCAGGTGATATGGGAAGACCATTTATATGAACTGACTTGCAAATATTTTTCATAGGTAATAGAGTAACGGTGAATAAAGAACACCTAGAAGCCATTAGTATCCAAAATTAGTGTTATCATACAGTAAGTATTTAAATATCAATGGGTAACCAAATGGCTGGAGGGGAGAAGAAATCCCAGGGCCTATGGGGCGCCTGGGTGGCTTGGTCGGTTAAGCTCAGGTCATGATCTCATGGCTCAGGTCATGATCTTCACAGGTCCCGAGTTGAGGAGCCCAGCATCCGGGCTCTGTGCTGACACGTCAGGAGCCCCCAGCCTGTTTCCAGTTCTGTCTCTCCTCTCTCTGCCCCTCCCCCTGTTTCATGCTCTGTCTCTCTCTGTCTCAAAAATAAATAAACGTTAAAAAAAAAAAATTAAAAAAAAAAAAAAAAAGAAAGAAATCCCAGGGCCTAGCTTTTACCTGCTAAGTTAACTTGGTTGGCTCTATATCCTGCTGATAGAGGAGCTGAAAAGGAGGCACTATTATATTCCACTCTCCTATGTGAACTCTCACCATAACACAGGGCATAAACTGGAAAACAGAGAAAAATGAGGTGGTTGGGGTAAAAAGAAAGTTTTCCCAGTCAGTATCAGTCTGAAAGATGATATTCATGGACAGGGAAGCTCGCAGAATGTAGACTCTTGTCATGTTTCTAGTTCCTCCTGTCCTAGGCCTTTAAATAAGGCCATTAAACAAATACTAATTTTATCAAACACTATTTGTATTTATATGCATTACTTGTTATATGAATTATATAGTTCAATGTTTGATGTACTGAAAACTAGCAAAATGGTGAAGAGGCTCTCACACCCAAAATATGAATAATAAGGGACACCTAGGTGGCTCAATCAGTTGAGTATCCAACTTCAGCTCAGGTCATGATCTTGTGGTTTGTGGGTTCAAGCCCCATGTAGGGCTCTGTGCTGACAGCTCAAAGCCTGAAATCTGCTTTGGATTCTGTGTCTCCCTCTCTCTCTGCCCCTCCCCTGCTTGCACTCTCGCTCTCTCTCTCTCTCTCAAAAATAAACATCAAGAAAATTTTTTTAATCTGAATAATAATTGTACTACATTATCTCAACCTATCTCTTTTTTTGACAAAGTATCTAAAGCAGAATTTGTACTGTCCATTGAATACCCTTACAAAGCATTAGACATAAAAGGGTACGCTCATGGGATCTTTGCAAAGGAAACAAGCGGTTGTTAAGAAGTTGAATCTTCTGTTTCAATGAGTATGCAAATGTCAGAACACAGAAAAAGTAAATAGCACTGTTATAACTAGTACTTCAGAGATTTGAAACCTTCATCTTGGGTAATCTCTTTTCCCAATAACCTTTAGCCAAATGCCAAATTGTACTGAAATCCATTGTATATTAGAAAAAAGCTAAGCAAATTTTAGTTGCCATTTTGCTTTAAGAAGGCAAACAGATCATAATTCTAATTTCATATACCTTGATATCTTTAGGTTATATGACACATTTTGTAAAAATTTATCCATTGTTTTTAAAAATTACAATGGACTAGAAAACAATCACTATGCAGGAGGCCTAGGCACCTGATGAATATAGAAAAAGTGAGGGAGGTGCTCCTGAGTGGATCAGTTGGTTAAAGGTCTGACTCTTGGTTTCAGCTCAGGTCATGATCTCATGGTTCGTGGGTTCCAGCCCCACCTTGGACTCTGTGCTAACAGCACTGAGCCTACTTGGGATTTTCTCTCTCCCTCTCTCCATCCCTCCCCTGCACACGTGCACTCTCTCTCTCTCCCTTTATTTCAAAATAAAAAAATAAACATTAAAAGCAATTTTAAAAAAAGACAAGAAAAAGTGAAGGCTAGGTCTCTGCCCAGTCCCAGAAAGATAAAGGATACCATACATGCCATCTTCAAATTCAAGAGCTGCCCGCTTGATGATACGTTCCCTTACATTATCTCCAGGTTTACCGGATTTGGCTTTTACATCTTCCTCTTTCCGGACTGATAAACGCTTTAAAATAAACAGAAATTATTCATGATTGAGGTATACCCTGTATTTTATCACTGCCGAAATCTAAAATTTTATTGGAAAAAAACGTAGGTCTCTTCCCTTTACTAAAACTATGAGGCAAATCTACAACAGAGAGTTTTTTTTTTTTTTAAAGAATAACATGGGTGGTATTTGATGACAGAAATAATTTTTTAGAAAGTGAAAGAGGCCAGATCTGTTTGAAGAGAAAGATGTAGCTGTTCTGTCTTTTTGAAGCAAGTAATCCCTCTGTTGCCATCACACTGACTGCTACTACTATTAGTCTTAAGACTTCTACAACTGAATTCTTCTCAGGTGCTCAAGGATTGAGCCAGAGCAAAGAACAAGGAACAGACCTTGGGACTCTGTTTTTGCCGGGCTGTCAGAATGTGTTTACCAGGTGTCGCTATTGCCAATTGCATATTTCCACCTGAAGAGTCTGGAATGGTTTTGCTACAAGCGCATCACAGAAATCATAAAAATATCCAAAAACCAGCCAGGAAACTATTTCCATTACTAAATCTTCTTGACATAGACTCTGGTTGCTATTTGCAAATGTCCCACATCCTCTCTTCTTAGTCCCTTGAACTTAGTTTTAGATTGCAAAATGTCTTTCTGTTTGATGCAAGGTAGAGGGTATCTCTGATTCCCCAGTATCTCCCACTGCATGCCTATTCTGTTGCTGACCCCTAGATAATTATGAATTTTGATACCAATTTTGGTCCAGCTGAGCATTCTTCATGCTCTCAGTAGCCTTAGAACATCTCCAATGCCCCTGATGCCTACCCCTTGCCATGATCTCATATCTACCAGCTGCCCAGAGCCCAACACTGAGGGGAATGACTTTCTGGACTTTATACACTGCAAAGCAACATTAAGATTGATAGACATTTCTGAATAATCAAACACTAAGAGTCCAGCAGGGCTAAAGCCTTCCCTACCCTGTAGAACAGCCAGCCAAAACTATGCAGTGTAATAAATTAGGACAGTTACAGAAGCCTGGAAGACACAGCCTAGAGAATCATGTAACTTGGTGATATACACTTTCGTAAACACAAGGCACTAATGGGCTGGACAATAACATAGATGATCATGTCCCCTTAGGATGGACACATGAGAAGCTCCTACTAAGATCCAAAGCAGGACTTTCCATTCAGCTTTAATTTCCTATCATCTGGAATGGCCCCAGGGGCACATAATCTCTGATAATCAGATTCATAAATTCTAACAAAGAAACTAATGCAATTACCTCAATCCTTTTCTCATATTTTTCTCCCTTTATAAGGCGATGTACATAAATCTTAGGAATATGGATGTCTTCTGGGGCAAATGATCCAATATCCACAATTTCTTCAACCTAGGCCAAGAGAAAATAATTAGTGAGAGCTTAAACTGAAAAATTTTTCATTTTGAAAAAAGTCCATGCATCTGTATCTTCAACTTAGGTTGGATATACAATGTAAAATACACATACACACACATATGTGTATGTATGTAGGTGTGCGTGCATATATATGTGTGTATGTATGTAAAAGAGAACATATATGTATAAACATACATATATATGCACGTATACAAAAGAGAGAGAATACACTACACACAGACACTTCTGGACCCACAAAAAAGAAGAAATTCAAATACATGTGTCTGAACATAAAATACAGAACATAAAGCTCCAGAACTTAGTCTCTGCCTAAAAGAGCCTCAGTTACAAAGTTGTCAAATGGTTTCCCAGTACAGCTGCTTGAACTTTCACAAATTGCAGTTCAACTATGGAAAACTTGAAAGCACATCCCTTAAACCCTGATTTTCAAAATTAATGGGAGATTTATCATATCAAAGACAAAAATCTGTAACAACATCTGCTTGGTCAATTGAAAAGCTTTTTAAATATAGATACAAATGCTATCTGTAACAGTTTTTAATTATTTGTTATTAGCATCCTAGGATCGTGATAGAACTGCAATTGCTGAAATAATTTTACTTAAAGACAGATCATTAATTTCAATATGGAAATTCAAAAAGGAAAATATTAACTAATGACTAGAAATGCTCAATGTGATTAGAATTAAAGTCATTTACAGAGCAAAAGGGCATTATATAGCAGCATGGAATGCTCCTAGTTAGTCTGCTACTTTATAATTCATTTTAAAAAGGACAAATGAAGGGCAAATTGTATACACTGTATATTAACTAATTTGACAATAAATTGTATTTAGAAAAAATAAAAATAAATAAACATTAAAAAAATAGATATCAGCTGGGGGAAAAAAAGGACAAATGAAACAGTATCTTTACGTCAACATAAAAAGAACCTCAGAATAACCACGATCAAGAAAAACTAAGGTCAAACTAAGGTCAATGTTGTTGGGGTCAAAGAACTATCTTTCTGGTGCCAAGAAAAAATATTACCTTGAAGACTGTTGGGTGCTCAGTTAGTAGATGTCATATCCAAAGCAAAGAATGATTTCCTTAAATGAACTTGCGCAAAGTGACCTGTATGAAACGTGCCTCCTGAACTAAGAACTGAACTCTCCAGAGGTCTTTGAGGTCAAGTAGCACTCTTTATGCTATTCTACCCTGTATGCCCACGCCACACTCCTCCTCCAGTGAAAGCATACCAGGAATCACAAGAATCATTTTGGTTATTATGCACTGCTCCCAAATAGCTGAGAAAAACAGAACGTGGTAGATAAAAGCTATCTTTAATGATAATTAGAAGGATCTTAATGAAAATCAAACAAAAACTCCAAGGAGGAGTCAGTATACATATGGGCATCCAAGCTGAAATAATGGGTAGAGATGCACAACTGCATTCATCTGAAAATGAGTTAGAGAGAGGCTAGGGGACTCCCCATCACTGTTATCTGTACCCTCCCTCAAAAACTTCTCTATGCTCCAGTAGTTCCCACTCAGGGTGGTGACCAGGTAAAGAGGAGTAGATACCAGAAATGCAGAGCAGCTAAGCATTATGCAACTTCTTCAAGTACTTGGAACTTTTAGCCATTAGGGCTAATTCACATCTTTATACTTATTCAATTCAAGCCTTCAAAGAGTTTCGGGACTTAAACAATTTTTTTTATACATTAACCCATTAACCCTGAGGATATATATGAAGACTTAGTATTCAATAAAATATTGGCCATACCACTTGTTACAATAAGAATGAGCTGGAAACAACCTAAATCGTCAACAACAGGATAATGGTAAAATATATAGGGTACATCCACATGATATATCAATATTATGCTTTCATAATACTTAATGACATGTCATAAGTTAATGTTTCATAAAAAGTAAGATTTTGTATAAATAACTATTTAAAGATATGCTCTTTGGCATAATTGTCTCTCTACCCACAAAAAAACAGAAAGGAAATACACAGAAATGTTAATAATTATTATCTGAGTAACAGTACCAGTTATTTCTTTTCATTTTATTTTGATAATCAAGGGGTGAAAAACTTAGTTTTTTAAAGATACAATGGACACTAAGTAATTAGTTTCCCAAACCAGAGAATACATAAATGGAGGATGTCATAAATTCCTTAATTAGTTAGACATGTACCAAAAGGACACATTAAAAAAAAAAAAAAAAAGAAAAGAAAAACCAGGGAGACTCAAAAAACAAAAACAAAACAAAACTGTGATTTCTAAACTCTAAAAGCACTTACAACTTTATGAAATGAATTAAGGAAACTCTTTTGTCTACTTTTTTAAAGATAATGCCAATTATTCTCCACAGCCAATGCTGTTCCAAAAGTCCAGACCCTCATATCTTGTGCTTGAATTATTGTAGCAGCTTCCTAATTGGTCTCCCAGCCTTTATCCTTCAGCAGGAACAAGAAACGTAAAGGAAAATAATAACACTTATCACTTAAGCTAGAAATGCTGATGGGAACCAGTCACTTTTCTTCTGATTCCAATAAAGAAAGTTTTGACAAAAAACATCAAGGTAAGACAAAGTTTCTTTACCAAGGGTAACGACATCATGACTTTCACAACAAATAGGATGAAAGAACGTGTTCTGGTAAAACAACTGACGAAAAGCAGGAATCTGGTTGAGTGTCATCAGTTCTATGCTTTGTCATCCTAATAGAAGTGATTTTCATATTGTAGAAAATGCAAGTACAGCATTTGTCAAAACAATATCAACACTCCACAGTACTGAAAATTTCTATACAAAACTCAAAGCTTTCTTAGAGTTGGTTAGCAGAGTTAATAGCAAAGGAAGAAAATATTTGAAGTACAAACCAAAAGAAGAAAACATATGTTTTCAGACAATCTGTGAGAAGAGTTTTAAAAAACTGAAGAGGCAGAACTATCTTAATGCTAGCTATCGAAGGGACTGAAGCCTTCTGTGCAGGCTTTGTGTGATTTTGAGAAAGAACAGTAAGGAAGAACCAAAGTGGGGGAAACAAGTCCAGTGAGATCAGGTGATCACATAAGAGCTAAAAGAAATCTGAAAAGAAAGAGATGAATAAAATGAGGCTGTAAAGAAAAAAAGTAAAAAGCTCACAAGAACACTCACTAACAATGGCAGAAATGTTCCTCCTGAAATCAGAAGTGGGGAAGACAGAAAATAAAGAACAAAGAAAAAGTCTCAGTGCAAAGCAGTGAGCATATTTAAGTTTAAATATGCTCAAGATGGAGGAAAGGTAGTTAAGAACAACCCAGACCTCTGGCTGGCGCTAAGCATAGTTCTTAGGCAGCACCATCTGGTTCATCTAGAAACCCAGACACTTGTGGCTTCTCTAATTAGTACATGTCTTCAGTCATTAGCAGGAAAATAGAGGCTAGGAAATGTTAATTATTATTGATTTGAACTTTGTTTTAAAAGGTTGCTTTCTCTGCCCTATACCCTTTCTACTTTATAATTCTGAAAACTTTTATTTTAAAGCTCAGACAAGGATAAGAACTCATCCTTGGGTGACAATGTCTTTGTTTTCACTTGGCAAATATTACTTATATCTCAGGTAAGGGAACAGAGGAGCTACAAGGCAATAACTTTCTCATGTATTTATTTTATTTTAGTGGCAACCTGAATCTGTGATAGCCACAAAAAAATTGGGCCCTACGCTGCAAACCTCACAGTGATACTAGGTGAGGGCTGTTTGATACTAGGTGAGGGCTGAAGGGGAGGGATCACACTGAAGGTGTTTTTCTGGAGTCATTTTAACTTTCAAAACAGGTTAGGATGAATTTCTTCTGGCAAGAAAGAAAAAAAGCCAACAACAACAAGCATTAATGTCTAGAATCATGAAAAACACGAAGTGATCCCAAATTAGGAAAACCTGTGGAAGACTAGAAAAATGGAAGAGGGAGGCAATGAGCCATAAGAGAAAACATTACAAGTTAGATGCAGAGGTGCTCTGGATGTCTCTGGGTCAGATGAAGAGAAAATGTGGAGAAAAAGGGAGGTCAGCATGCAGGGCATACTTCCCAAGAATCCAAAGGAGCAAATCAAACAAACAAACAAAAACAATAAAAAAAAAAAACAATTAAAAAATCCAAAGGAGCAAGAAGGTGCATATTGTATTAAGCTTCATGCTAAGAGATGATAAGATTAGTACAAAAAATATAAGATAAAATGGCATGGAAGCTAAAAGGACCTGGAACAAATTACAAATGGTCTTAGATATCTATATATAAATGCACAGACTGAAAAGATGAGTAGCTAGGCTATTAATGAATTTTCAACCTTAATGACAGTGGTAAATATGATTGTGCAGCAATGACTGAAACCTTATTGACTGGATCTCATACCAATAGATACTCTACAATGCCCAGTGAAAATAAGCTCACAGAACATGTTATGTCAAGAAAAATATGCACATGCCTGGGAAGCCACAGACCTAGTGATGAAATGTGGTATATTTACTGTGAGTTTAAAAAGATATAGAATATCGCACTAATGGCCATATAATCACAGTGTTCTCCAAACTAAAGATGTAGAGGATGTATTTTTAGTAGGAATGTCAAAACTGGCTCAGAAATAAGACAGTCATATCATGAGAGACACTAATTATTTGAATATCTCTGATCATCACATTCCTCTGAAAATTTCTATAATGCCTTCTGACAAGTTCTGTATTTTAGAATGAACAAGTGAGAGAAATCATGATTCTGGACCTCTACTAGATAAGGGTAACGAATAAGGATAAGCTTGGTAAAGTAGAAATGATGGAATCCCTGAGAGAAAGTGACAATGTAAAATTGGAATTTGCGGTGGCCTGGGAAGTGAATCCTGGACATAAGCAGAAATGTGTCCTGGTCTTTGAAGAAAAGCAGACTGGAAAAAGTTGAGAGGAAAAAAAAAAGCAGAATCAAGTGGTCAGAAACTCTAGAAGACAAAGAG